GAAGGACTCACTAGGTTAGATGGCAAGATCTTTGTCGCCCTAAGAAACAAAGGGGACTCGAATTCAGGAACCTACACGAGTTCAACTTGGCTCTCTTAGGGAAACAACTCTGGAATCTAATCCAAAATCCCCAGTCATTGGTGGCCAAAGTCATGAAAGCTAAGTACTTTCCCTCCCGAGAGGTGCTGGAAGCTGAGGAGGGGTACAATCCTAGTTATATATGGAAAAGTATTCTAGCTGCTAAGAACCTAATGAAGGAAGGCCTAAGATGGAGAATTGGAGATGGAAGCAGAGTGGACATTTGGCAAGATAAATGGGTTCCTAGCTCAGAAAATTACAAAGTAATCTCTCCAGTCTCTAATTTTGCCCCACATACCTCAGTAAGCGAGTTGATTGATGTAGAGTCAAGAACGTGGAACTAGACTATTCTACAAACTCATTTTCTTCCTCAAGACAGACTGAACATTATGAAAATCCCTATTGCAAGACAGCCAGCTAGGGATAGGAGGATCTGGAGCCAAGAGAGGTCTGGTATCTATTCAGTAAGATCGGCCTATAAATTCCTACGTTGCAGGCAAGAGGCAGAAATTGGAGAGTTCTATTCCCCAATAAACTGGGAGCAGATATGGAAACTTGGATTACCCCCCAAAGTTAAAGTTTTTGCGTGGAGATGGATCCGTAATATCTTGCCCACTGGGGAAAATGTGTTGAAAAGAAAAACGAAAGGATGCGAAGAATGCCCCTTTTGTGGCCAAAAGGAGACCCAAAACCACATCTTCTACGATTGTGATTGGGTAAGGAGGGTATGGCGCCCTAGTGCTCTAAATCACTGTTTTGAGAAGGGGGATGAACTGACCTGTGAAGAGTGGATGGCAAGTCTTCAAGAGACTGAATCTGATGAGAAGATTGCTCAATTCCTGACGGCTCTCTGGTTTATCTTGGAAGAACGAAATTGTCAACAATGGAATAAAATGAAAAGGGAAGAATTCGAGATTATGGGGAAAGCTGAAAGATGGTTGTTGGAATACCTTGAATATCAGTGCGCGACGACGTCGACTGGACCCAGACAGGCAATTCGATGGAAACCGCCGGACAGAGCAGACTTCAAGATCAACGTCGATGCCGCCACTTTCGTCGGAGCAGGAACTGGTTTGGGGGTGGTTATCCGTGACAAAAATGGAGGTTTTTGCCTGGTCGGGGTGCGGAGATCGCGAATTCAATGAACGGCGGATCTGACAAAGATTCAGGCTATCAAATTTGGTCTGGAGGTAGCGATTGAGAAGGGCTATCGACCGGGAGAGATTGAAACCGATTGCCTAAGGGTGGTGCAGCAGATCGGGAAGGAAGAAGAGTCGATAACGGAGGAAGGGGAAGAATGTGAAAAAATGAGGCTTAAGCTCGCTGGTTTGAGCGGAGACTATTCGGTTAGATTCTCGGGTCGGGATAGTAACCGGGCGGCTCATATAATGGCCCATACCCAATGTGGGTGGGATGAGACTGAGATTTGGGCAGATAGGCCCCCTATCTTTCTAGTAAACCAACTCATTTCTGATACCTGTAATATTTCGCATTAATGAAATAATACAGGTCTTTTTAATAAAAAAAAAAGAGCCAACTTGTTTGGCTCAACGTAGATTTCATTTTATCTTTCCATAGTTGAATTTCTCTTCAATAAAATTTCCTTTCCATTCTTTTAGTTTGAGTGTTTCAATTAGAGCGTTTCAATTCCCACTATGTCCCTTCTGAATTCACACAACGTTGATCAGGAAGCTCTCCCGGCGAGACGGGCGGTCGGGTTCGGGCTGGAAGTTGGGGACGGGGCGCCAGTGACCCGTGGTAAGGTCGGGTTGTTGAAGGTCAGCCATTTGACTGCTGCGCTTGCCGGCTGAGGCCCATGGGCTTGCTGTTGATGGAAGGCCCATAGCTGTTTCGAAAATGTTGGGATTGGGCTTGTCGGAAATATTTATCATCTGCCTATGAAAAAAATTGTAAGAAGATTTTTCAAGGTGGGAAATTTTGTTGAATAGGAGGACATTTTTTTGCTTTCCATTTCTTAAATATTATGTAAAAAGTTCATTATTCATCTATTATAAGATACATTCATATAAAATTATGAATAAGAAAATGCCAAAACTTGACAATGTTGTTGTTGTGAATAGGTCGGGCTTTCTTTCAAGTGTTATTGTGAGTACATTCGACTTTTTATAGGAATATTTTTACTTGTCCAGCTTATCCAGTAAATGTTCAATTATATCATGTCACAATGGAATGGATGGTAGTTAGTTTCAATGGTTGGGCATAGAACTTAACCTTGCAGGTTTTTGTGTTGATGCTGTTTTCAACGGATCAAGCGACAACCTTAGAGCTCATCTATCAGAACTCAGAAGTAGGGGTGGGCATTCGGTCGGTTCGGTTTTGATCGAACCAAAATTATGAATACCGGGTCCCCGAATTCTCCCAAACCTCAAACCGAATTCGAATCAAATTATAATTCGGTTCGGTCAGTTTAAATCGAATTATAATTCGGTTCGGTTTTCACACAAAACCGAATTTGCTAAAATACTTGTATCTTCCCACTTTTAAATTATTTGTACCCCTAATATAAACAATAAATATGTAATTATATGCACCATCAATGATAAAATCAATCTTTTGAACACATAAGTCATAAAACAATTCAAATATTTAAGTCTAAAAACAACTACAAACATAAAAATCCACCATTTGGAGCTTCCAATTATAGTATTTCAGTTTTTCGGTCGGAAATTCGGTTCGGTTGAGAGAACCCTGGTTTCCGAACTATCCATATTTTCCTTCCGAATTCCAAACCGAATAGCATTAATTCGGTTTTGGTTCGGGTTTACCGAACCGGTTGCCCACCCCTACTCAGAAGCTAAGATTCCTAGCCTTTTCCAACAGGTTTTGATGCTGGAGATTGGAGAAGGGATGGGCCATATCTGTGATTTTGACCGTGTCTTTCCAAAATTTGTGAATGGTAGTACTAGAGGTCCTCTACACTCTAACCCCTCGAGTCATCTTTTGTATAGATTCACATCGTAGGTTGGAGTTTAGAACAGGTTCATACTTCATACTCTTTCATCTATGATTTAATACGGAGAAGGGGATAGTCCATATCTGTGATTCGCAAATTTTGTAGGTTAACCTCCTTGCTTTGAAGAAATTCAATAGAATCAATCAATCTAGTTTTTGAAAGCTGAGTGAACAATATGATACATTGTACGATGTTTACAACTAATTTGGTCACATAATGCCTTCAATATCCCAAGTGCCCTCGGGGAAGAAGACGAGTTTCAGAGCTGCAGTAGGTCCCTGCCTCAAGTAATTCAAACTCCAAACCAATGATTTCCTCAGCTGAACAACACGTTTCAGCTTCTCCTCCGCCATGCCCACGAGGTCATAACGAAAGCTCCCGAATTCTTTCAACCACGACGTAGAATCCATTTTTGCCAACAACAACAACACCAAAAAAAACAGCTGATACAAATATAGTCGCCGGTTGACGCAATCAGGCAAAACGATGAATCGAAAATGGCCGATTGCCTGGAAGGCGACCGGATTTGTTTGATGTGAGAGAAGGGTCTCTAGGAAGGCTAAATCCTATGCGCTTCCCCTCTTCTCTCCCTTCTCAGATAAAAACAATTTGCCGGGAAGAAAATGCGGGAAAGGAGAAATATGGGTCTTTTAAGGGATGCGGAAACAAGGGAAAATGTGAGAAGCTCGGTAAGCAGATGTGTTGACGGGAGGCAACAACCGGCCAGTAAACCTCTTGTAATGGGATTCGATTTGGCTACAGCCGATTAGGCAAACATCAAGAGAGAGGCGATTTCGATTTCTCGCGCCTTCGCTTGGTACATATAGCCGTCAGAAAAACTTGCAACCAGATTGAAAAAACACAATAAGAACAGAGCAGAAACGATTAGAAACTCAGACGTAGATCTAAGGTTTCATGTAAAGCTTTCAACTTCGGTAATGAGTAGGGATGGCAATCAAACCCATGGCCGCGGGTACCCGACCGCCCCATACCCAGTCAACGCGGGGAATCCCCGCTTTGACCGGGTATGGGGCGGGTATGGGTAAAACCCGCAAAAGGTTTGATGGGTATGGGGCGGGTATGGTTTTAGCCTCCCCCGCCCCATACCCATACCCGCCCCACCAAGAGAATTTCTTCACATATCAAAAAATACGTGGATTAAATTGTAATCTATCAATGATGATGATGATAACTCGAGAAAATAAATAGTAGAAATGCAATTGAGTAACCACCTTAATCAAAACCTAATTCATTTCCCTCAATTCTCCTTCCACTCTTTCACTTTCCCCCTTGTCAACAAAATTATGTTAGATAATTATTACTTAGTAAATGTATCAAGAGTTAGAGCATAATAATTTAAAAAATATTATAGTCTATATTATGTATTAATGGATGTTTTAGGATCATATTCTTTGAATCGTATTTAGAAAATGACCGTGTTTTGTTGACTTCGTGATATAATAGGTTTGTTTATGGTTATAATTAAAACTTTTCTTGTAAGTTTTAGGTATAATAATGTTGGATGTACGGGGATGGGTATTACCCATGGGTACCCGAAACCCACGGGTATGGGGATGGGTTTGCAAAACATTCCCCCGCATGGATATGGGGCGGGTATGGGTTTTGGTATTTGAAGATGGGGATGGGGATGGTTTAGGCAAACCCGCCCCAAACCCGCCCCATTGCCATCCCTAGTAATGAGTACGCCGCTCTCGCTTGGCGGCTTTTATAAGGAGGGATGAACGTCTCTAACCCTAGATTGTTCCGTTTCCAAGGAGGTGATCTCGGCCGCACATCTTATTTTTAGAGAGGCTGTTGAAACTCCTCTGCCGTTTTACCGGATTTTTGGCGCAAAACGGTTAGATCAGTAGGATGTTGGCCTTCTGTTCAAAATCTGGATATATGTTAGTGGCTTATAATTTGTTTACGCATAGATGCTTTGGTGTGTTCACTCACAGATTCTCCATGGATTTGTAATTCATTTGTAGTTGGCAATTAAGTTCCACCACTTGTTTGTAACGGTGAATCAAAATTTGTAGTTAGTTCATTCTGCGTTACCGAGATAAAGGCCCATGCGATCAATTCATCTGTTTATTAAAGTAAAATCAGAATTTTAATCATACAATAAATGAAACGCCGTACTATCTCAACAAATACAAAAGAGAGAAACGCAATCCATAAGAGTGATCTCAGAAACAATTCACAAGCTATTGGAATGGAAATACAAGTAGTTCTGTGGACAATTCATGTTGCTCTGAAAAATGGAGCCTCCTCAAATCTTACAGGCGAAGGCGATGCCTTCCTTCGAGAGCAACTCGAGGCTGTCAACTGATGGTTGAACCCTGGCGACTTTAGCAATTGCCTTGTTTTCGTCTGGGGAACCGCCTTCCAGGAAGGCTCCAAGGATCTTCCCGTCTTTGATCCAGTATGTGCCGAACTTGGGCTTCTCTGCCTTGGGGTCGTCGTTGCCGAACAGCACGGTTTCGCCAACGTTGTCACCGTAGAATTGCCACGACAGGTCGAAGGCACGAGAGTAGAAGTAAGGGAGATAATCGTATTCTTCAACGGTCACAGTCGACATTATAGCCTGGTAAAAAGCAAGCAAAATAGTTTTGATGAAGCCATCAACCAAAGCAACAAACAGTTTAGAAATGGAAAGAAAGAGGGGAGAATGTAAAAAGTAAAAACCAACATTACCTTGACAGCCTGCTCAGCTGATTTACGAGCATGATCGACGTGTTCGACTCGCCTGATCTCGTTGTAGATCTTCATTGGAAAAGTAGCAACATCCCCCACAGCATACACATCAGAGACGCTTGTTTTGAAGAATCCGTCGGTCTATAATCAATGAAGAGTCCAGTAGTTAGTAACTCTTCCATGAGGAGGTCATTTGGAAGTAATTCAGATCATTAACAAACCTTAATTCCGCCCTTCTCTTCGTCGACCTGCTCCTTGAACAAGGCTGTAACTGGTCTTCCTCCAACGCCAACAACAACAATGTCGGCCTCCAACACCCTGCCATCCTTCAATTTAACTTCCTTCACCTGAGAACACAGTTGGAACTTGCTTCCGTTTCAGATGAACATTCAACGAACAAGATTATAGAATTAGCAAATAGTTTAAGTTTTTACCTCTCCATTTGAATCGGAAGTGAATCCAGTTGCGACTGTCCCCTTGATGATGTTGATGCCCTTGTTAGAATAGTAGACTTCATAGAATGCAGCTATTCCAGCTGTAAAAAGCCGAGGCACTAGAGGAGAGCATTGAGCAAGTTAGTGAACAGGGCATTTATCATGGGATGTGCGGTAAGGACTTCGAAAGTGATTTACTTACTGCACCAAGGTTCAGGATAGACCATGGTAACCTCAATGTTGTTGATCTTCAAAGCTGCACTAAGCTCCAGACCAATGTAACCTCCTCCAACAATGACAGCTTTCCCATTTGGCTTTGCTTTGATTGCTTCGACGAGCTTATCAGCATCATCGATCTCCCTCAAGTAAAAAATGTTTTTTGCATCAGCTCCTTCTACACCAAAGTCAGTCAATCGTAACACCTATGCAAAGAAAGTAGGGTCACGGTCAGAAATGCTGTGAGTGATGAACCTAATGCAGAAAAGCTGATGAAGAAACATATAAACTTACGGTTGAACCAGTCGCAATGATCAGTATCTCGTACTTGATGGTTTCCCCAGCAGCACTTACGAGCATCTTCGAGGGAACATCTGCTTTAACTATTTCTGTGTTAAGCAACAACTCTATCCCTGCAGCAGCAACATTCAAGAAACAGGTTTTAGTTGGAAAATCACTTTTTTGACACCCAAAACATTGAGCAAGGAAGCAAGATTAAACTGGGCAAGTTCTCATTTATGTAACAGGACTAATGAAGCTGAGTTTTTATAGGTCCTCACCCTTCTCAGTGTACCACTCAGGGAGCAATCTCTCCCCTCCACTACCAACGCACGTGTGAAATCCAGGAAGCCTTGCAGTTCCTGCCAAACGCAACTTCCACCAATTAAAAACTATTCAAGCACAAAACGTAAGAAATACTACTTTGGTCTCTTCAGAAACCAAAGTAAAAATCTGCTTGAATCATGCTAGCTATCTATATTTTAAATAGGTTTGAAAGATCTTTTACCAGTAGGGAAGAGATAGGCCTTGCTAAGAGCTGGACGTTCATAAGGCGCTACCTGCACGCACAAGATACCACAACTCATTACCACCAAGAAAAACTAGACAGCATTGACCCCAAAGGAAATCTCTAGTCTCCAAAGCCATCTTCTCTCACTTCAGAAGGCGCAAAACCCATTCTTTATGAAGGGAACAACTCATCTGCTTGAGCTAGACTAACATGATCCATTCGGCCTACTATACCAGAGGGCAATTCAAACACTGAACAAGTGGTTTGATGATTGCTAGAGATACAGGGAGATATAGGAAGCAACGGAAACAAAACGGTATAAACAACATACCGCCTCCTTTGAGATAATTGCCAATTCACCAGGCTTGACCCCTTGATTGGCGAACTCTCTTGCTGCATATCCCTGCACCACCAGGAACCAGAATTCATATGAAGGTTGCAAACCCATCAAAACGAAGAATCAATCTAGTTCCTTCAATTCAAACTAGTGCCAAAGGCTTGCAAAACAGAATAGAAGCAAAAAACTCTGGCAATAATGCAGACAGGAAAGGAAGTCACAAGATGAATTCCTCCTAACATTGATCATACACCTTGGTTGATTCGTGGAATGCACTGTAGTTCCATAGTTCTCTACTTTAAAGTGAAATCAGTCTAATTCCTCTACAATGTCCCCAAACCTCGCAAACAGTTCAATCCTTTCGCCTCGCCCTCACACGCAGACGCCATCCAGAGCAGAAATGAATATCTACGCCAGCTGAGCTTAGAGCATAACTTTACCACACGAAAGGTCAGAGATAAACCGAACTAGCTAAAACAAACCAGTACCCAAACATCTGCACTAAGTTATGCGCAAATTGAACACAGTTCAGGGACGCGATCGCAACGAAAACCAAATCAACGGTTCAAGCAACAACTAATCACGGAACTGGGAAACAAGAGCAACAACCACCACAAGATTTCCACACTAGATCGTAAGTAAAGCGCTCGAAAAAAATTCCTAGATCTATAAACGCTTGGCACCAGGGGGCCGCGAAATTCCGAAGAGGTCGCTCCGGAACCGCATACAACAGCCCGGAATGTTACGGCAGCAGGGGAATTCATGAGAATAATCAAAGAAAACGATCGCGAAATTCACAACTATAAGAAAAGAAGCGGCCGAGGTTGAAGAAGAAGAGTACTTACGGCAGCGACGCCACCGCCGAGGATAACATACTTGAAGCTCTTCTCCGCCATTGATTGATAATTGGATGGTTTCTTTCTCGCTCTCTGCTACTCGGTCGTTTTTTCCCTTTATTTCCTGTTGTGGAGACGATTGATTGATTAATTGACTTCGTATACTCGTATTATTATTTACTAGTATCAATACCCACGGCTACGCCGCTGGTGATTTAACATTGTTTTAATTAATAGCTGCAATATAATCAATAGACAGAAATAGTTAGAAATTATATACGCAAAGCAATTATCATGCGAGTCCAGACAACTTACAATACAATGATTATAGAAATGCATGTAGACATTTTTATCAACTTCAAATTATAATCATTTAATAAGATAAAACTTCAAAACTATTTATCAACCAAAGAGTAGTCTATTAGTTATCTGTGACAATCACATGCTATAATATTCCGAAGTAGCAGGCCTTCCAAAATATATTTTGTAATGACCAAAAATAACTTTTGAAGAAGGGATGCCAAAACTTCTTTATCACAATCTTGAGAGTACAAAGTAAAGAGACATATTCAACCAATAATATTCAGATCCTTCTCAATGAATGATGCATCAGTTGGTTGCTTTCCACTTAATACTTCAAGCACCATGAGTCCATGTCTCCATGATCCCAAAGCCTAACAAACTCCACCATTTATGAAGAAGCAAGAATGAATGCAACAGGTCTAAGTCAAAACTTCGCATGTACTCTACCAATTTATACACACATGAGAAACTGGGCGTTGAACAATTGTTTCTCTAAGAGAATGATTATGTTGTTTGGTTAAACCCAAAATTCAGAAACCAACTTGAGGGCACACTAAACATTCACTCCCAAGGAGGAAGCTTAGATGAAAAATAGACCCAACATTTAGAAAACTTCAAGATACTCTAAAGCATTGACCTCATGGAATATAAGAGACCAAAACCTACAAGCTGAAGCTACCCCACACGATCACCAAAAAGGAAACTTGAGCTTCTAAAACAGGCATGCAAACTTATTGTACCAGTATCCTTGGTACATGAATTTCCACTACTTGCAAAAAGACGGGTATTTGCTGTAACACTTAGCTATGGCCAATAGTCAAAAGCAATGGCATCTGTACAGGAAGCAAGTATTTCCAGTTGAACAACATCATTTTACCAAGTGTTGTGAATCAATGCCTGCGGCTACGTTGCGTGAATTGTTCAGCAATGTGGCATTAATAGGAGGGAGAGATCAATGATCATACTCTTTGTTGGCACCTCAGAGTCCTATCACCAAAGATAATGTTTGGTATACAATCCATTTTAATTTACTGTTACATAAGGTAAACAATGGTGATTGCTTAACAAACTAAGAGAAAACAGAGACAACGAACTTTGCAAGACGAAAGAGAACTTGTTAGAAAATATTTCATGTTCAATGGACTATTGTGAAATACAAAATGACAACATCTGGCATATAGGTTACAGCCTCACCGCCAGTTCTAAGCAGCATCTGACATATAAATCTACATGGTACCAGCTCTAAGCTCCCCTCTGCACTTCCTTGAAAACGTAGAAATGGATCCTACGATTAACCTTCTTTACATGGAAATTGAACATACTGTTGGAAAAAAAGGTACATACAAATCACATTGTACCTGAATAAGTGATAGCAACAATATGTATATCTCTATTGCTTCTTTGTGTTATTCCCCACCAACTTGAAGAACAACCTTCAACCTAAGAAGTACTAACTGATCCATCCTTGCATCTTCATCCAAACTGCTCAATTTCTGTTTCATCATCCTTGCATCGTTGCTCATCATGGTCACAATGTTCCTCCCAACGTGGTATGCAGGCTGGTTCATCAGATTTAGAGTTAAATCAATATGGTGACTTGACCTAAACCATGACTTCCATATTTAGGGAAATCCACCAGAAAAAAATCCAGAAAATTTGTGCAGCCAATAGAGGCAGAAAAAGAAATGCAACCTGGCTCTTGTTGATATCAACAACAACAGTATTGGTTAACTTCGAATGCTCTTCAATTGTTTGGTTCTCCACCAATCTTCACACAACATCTAAACTCATTAATGACACTGATATAAAAGGATGAAATCACACAGTAACAGTAGAAGTGATCTTAAAGGGCAATTGATGTGCAAGATGAGACAGAAAGCTGAACACTGACCATGTAAGGAACAGGACCAAGCAGCATCCTAACATGACTAACAATGCAGAGTTAGTGCAGCTTAACATAAAGCAAATTAACTTGGATTATAGTTTTGTTAATTAGGTAGACAAAAAATTATTTCCGGTTGATGAACAAATTTTTTGTCTTAGTTGCTTAACCTCAAGATGAAATGAGACAAAATCATATTTTGAAGGAAAAAATAGGTACAAAGAACCAATGAAAACAATGCGAAACTCTGAAAAACTGACCTGATTGAGACTGAGAACCAATACGAAATAAGATACACTCATTTCCATGCTACCAAATTATGAAGGCCAAACCAAATCACCTTCATTTTCCACTGGCCACCTCCTGAACAAATAAACACCAGGCAAAAACTATTAATAAGGAAAAGCATACTGTAGTAATTCTAAAGTTCATGCACCTTGAACAAATAAAAGAATCTAAAGCATATAATACAAATCTAAGCAAAGTTTCCGAATTTGTTCGAAATAGAGTAAATATCTATATCTAACATACTGTTTGGTTTTAGTATTTGCAGTTGCCACCTCTCTTAACAGGATCGAACAATCTAAGGTTAATCAAAATAGTTCAGTCTCAATAAAAACCAATTATAGTACATAACTCAAGAAAACTTTGCTTAATAGAACACCGTTAAGGTGAAACTTGAGGGGTTTGATACCAGCTGCTGCAAAAAGTAACAACAGAGATTAGTTGCTGCAAAAAGAACCCATCACAACGCTATCAGGGAGGAAGCATAGGAGTAATGGAGAGGTCTAATGGACAATATACAGTCTAACCAAACCGAATTACAGTGAAAACCATGGGGAACCATTTGCCATTCCACATTACTCCAACTGCCAATTAATAACCCAACCCAATGATCTACCAACACTTAACTCAAGAAAACTTTGCTTAACAGAAAACGCCAGGGTGAAACTTGAGGGGTTTGAGATAAGTTGCTGCAAAAAGTAAACACCAGAGATTAGTAGCTGCAATAGTACCTAGCGAAAATGGCACAAGTCATAAAATTGTAAGACAACATTTTGATCGAAGAAAACAAAGAAATAGCAGGCTGGTGTAATTCAAAGAAAAGGAAACGACAATGATTGAAGAAAGCTAGCAGCATAAAGGAGAAGGTTCAGTCGACATAACCATTATACCAAATACAAACATTAATGGTCAACTTAAGAAAATATTTTGATTCACCTTTGATTGTTCGATTCTGTTAAGAGAGGTCGCCGCTGCGATGGTAAAACCAAACAGTAGCGTTGAGAATTGTAATCGATGAAGAAAAAGAAAATTAAAACCAAACATCACCCAATCACCCAATAATAATACAGAGAGGGAGAGAGGAAGAACGAAGAGGCTCGCCTGCAACCTAAGAAAAAGGCTCACATGTTCCATTATTGCTTATGGCCGAAGATGAGGGTGGAAGAAAGCCTCGCCTGAAAAGCTGGGTATGCAAATGGGGAACAGAGGAATTGAAGAGGTCGTGTAGATGAATTTGAGAGGTGTTAAACAGAAGAGATGGCTCTTCCCTTAATCGAGGGGAGTAAGGAGAAATTGTACAGTTTATGGGTTTGGCGTGTGGGAACGAAGGTGAGGAGGTGAAAAGAATGGTGAAAGTACGGAACGGCTGAGACGGCAGCCCATGATTGTGAATTAGGGGTGAGGTCGGCATGGCATAGCAGTACGGAAGCATGACAGGCTGATGCGAGACAGGGAGGGCGTCGACGCTTCGGGGATGGTAAAAATTCCGGGTGGAGCTGGCTGTGAGGTCGAAAGCCTGGAACCAGAGATGATATCTCTTCTCCAAAGCACAGTGGAGTCGTTGCTGCAGCCGTACATGGCTGCTGGCGTGGGTGAGCAGTGGTTAACAGGAGGCATGGGTGATGGCCTGCGGCAGCATTGCGAAGAGGAGGCAAGGTGGGACTTGGGAGCTTTCCACGGGGAGCTGGACCAAACCATTTTGCGAGAGAAAGTCCATAGGGCTTTTGGCACTAAACGCCAAGGATTGAAACATTAAAGAGAGTCTTTTGGCAAAAAGCGTAGCTGGCTTTTAAATATAAAAGAATATATATATATATATGACCATTGGCTGGCTTCCAAGTTCCATCCCATTGGTTGACCTTTTTGTAGCTGGGGGAAAAAATTGGTGGTCTATTTTTAATAAAGCGTTCTAGGCAAATGTTAATGCCTCACGTGGACGCCGTTACCGTTATACGTTGCCGGACTGCCGGCTCGCCACGATATTTGTCCCTTTTAACTTGAACTTTGCCTAGCAAATGAACCCTTTACAGGCCAGTTGATAAGGTTCAAGGTGGTCAATCTCTGTAATAATGTCTAAGCTAGCGAATATTGGAGGTCAACAGATTCCTTTCTCATATTCTGTGACTCGTTCTAACTATAACATCCCGATCGACGGTCAAGTATAATCGCTGACCAAGTATAGTATAGCGCAAGCAAACAATAAGAATTTATCGTATTATGGGTATCTAAGCTTACCCTACTTTAGGTTTAGGGTTCGTCATTTAACCAATCTAGGATAGTGATTAATAGAACTAAACTAACTAACATATACTAACCACTAATTCTAGCTATTTACAAGGTTTGGGAGCTCTCTTGGGTTAAATCTCCCTATTTCCGACCTTTTGATTGATGTTGAGTACCATTCTAGCTAGATCGACCCACTATCCTACCATTAGGAGGTGAACTCCCTCATGACGGACCCGGAACGGTGAAGTGATGGATGTGTAGGAGCTCTATTCAACCTCGGGCACCCCTATATCGTAGGAGATCGATCCAATCGACTCCCTCGGGGATTACCCGGACGATATGGGGCAAGGAGTTGTTTCCCTCCTAGGTCAAAAGCTCGATTGACTTAATTACTCTACCGTTAGGAGATGGACTCCCTCGGGAATGATCCGGAACGACGAATCGATGAATGTGATAGGCTCTATTCAACCTAGGGCAACCCTATATCGTAGGAGATTGATGTAACCGCCTCCCTCGGGGATTACCCGGACGATATAGGGTGAGGAGTGACTCGAAGACGCCAATAATGGGCTCTAAGGGGATTTTCTCCCTCCTAGGTCAAAAGCTCAATACATGAAAATGGAAACCCAACTCATGTCATTCATGAAAACATCCATCAATTAAGTAGAATCATCAATCAAACATGGAATGTGTCACATACATCAACATTAAACCCAAATCTAGACCTAGGATTCTTAAACCAAGAGAAGAGGGTGAGTTTCTAGAGAGAGAAGAGAGAAATTACAAATTGGAGTCCAAGATCGTCTTCTTCTAGGCTTGAATCCTTATCTTCAAAATCAACCCAAGCCTCCATTTAAACTCCAAGATCACTCAAGCACTCTTTCTCCCACACTAGAACTCCTCTTTGGTGTTTTGGGTTGAAACCCTAGAGAGATAATCGAATCCCTCTCCAAAAATCAGCTCTCACAACTACAAGACTAGACATCAGCTTTGCTACTCAACAACTTAGTCAGTTCATGTCCAACCCCAGTGTCACTCATTACAAAGCTGTCTTACGCATTCTCCGCTACCTAAAGTCAGCCCCAACAACTGGATTGTTCTTCCCAAACAATGGTACATTCCATTTAAAGGCATTCACTGACTCAGATTGGGCGGCCTGTGTTGACACACGCCGCTTCATTACAGATTATTGTGTTTACCTGGGTAACTCCTTGATTTCCTGGAAGAGCAAAAAGCAGCAGACGGTGTCTAGATCTTCATGCGAAGCAGAATACCGCGCTCTTGCGTACACAGCTTGCGAGATTCAATGGCTGCTTTTCCTCCTTCGTGACTTCCAGATACAGCACTCCCAGCCAACAACTTTGTATTGTGATAATCAGAGCGCCATTTACATCGCGCACAATCCCACCTTCCATGAGCGCACCAAGCACATTGAACTGGATTGCCATCTGGTGCGCGAAAAGATTCAATCTGGTACACTCAAGCTTCTTCATGTCTCTTCTTCCCATCAGTTGGCTGATTTGTTCACCAAACCGTTATCCCCAGCTCCGTTTCAGCAGCTTTTTGCCAAGCTCGGTGTGCACAATTTGTGCCCACCAGCTTGCGGGGGGGTATCAGCAGACGAAGATTAAAAATTCAAATGCAACGGTCACCCCTCTTTTCGTGATGAAGGCTGAAGAAGACGAGCAGAACGTTGTCGTTCTGATGGTTGAAGTTCTCATCGTCAATCCGCACCGTTTCCCCTGCCACGCTGCGTTTTGGTTATTGAACGATTTATGTTTTCTTTTCTTTGAAGCAAAGCTTTGTTTCCTTTTTCAAACAAAAGAACAAAGGTACAATGGGAGCATTTCACCCCACTGTCCTGTAGTGAATCTGCTGCCTATATATGTAATGATATGAATCAAATGAGACACAATTTGGTACCCACAATTAAATTTAGAAACAGAAAATGTAACGATGCAACTAAAAACCATCTTTTGTAGTTTAGTTGCAACTGAAAATTTTTAAGTAGTCAGTGTGCAACAAAAGCGATACTTATATGATATGAGGTGCAATTAACCCTTGTTTGCATCACTGCCCTTATCCTCTCCTTCCATCACCTCCACCAAAACCAAACCCACCGACCTTAAGACCGTCAACTCCATCGAAACCGCCTGATGCCTCCCGAATCCACCAAATCGTGCGCCTCCTCATAAGCTCTTATTCTCGGGGAAGGGGAGTTGATTGACGAAAACCCTACATCAACTCTCTTTCTCCGTTGTCCAATTTCAACCTTATAAATCCGTCGGCTGGATTCTTGGAGCAGATGGTCAATAGATCTGTACCTCTTCTAAAGAAACTCCTCTCACCAAAAGGTCACCTACATGCCCCGTCCTAGAGACGGTGCTCCACAGGCTGTCACCTCGAATTCCAGCGACGAAATTGGTCCCCTCGTCACCGGCGCCGTTGACGGAAGGGGAGAAAGGACAGAGGGAGATTGATCGGATACTGCCAACAAATGACCCGTCGCAGATTAGGGTTCTTGAAATTGATTTGGGGGGAATTTCTGGGGCATAATTGCGACACAAGTAGGGTATTCGAGTGGGAGAGAAAGGCGACGGGGTTCTGTCGGACATGGAGAGCTGCATGTTGCGGAAGAAGCATCCATGCGACGACAAACAAAATGGTGGTGGAGATGGATGTATGAAGTGCGACCGCTCCCACTAGTTGTTTTGATTTTGGAATTTGTTTTATTTTAAATATTAAATAATTTGATTAAAACTAATAAATACTTATGTGGCATAGTCAAATTCTTGAATTCTTGCCACATCATCAAAATCCTTCCACCTCAATAATAAATTTGCCACGTCACGGACAACTGACGTTGGATCGGATAGAAAGTTAACAATTTGACTATTAAATAAATTTGAGTATTATTTTGTTTAAAATGAAAAGTTTGACTATTAAATTGTATTTAAAAAAAACTTAAAATCAAAATCATAAGAGAAAAGAAAAGAAAGAAAGAAAAATGGGAGCATTCTGCTCTGAGCTTTCCCTTCTCTCTCTTCTGCTTCTTCTTCCTCCTCCTCTCATCTTCTGCTTCCCCTGAGGCCGAAACCCTTCCTCCCCCGCCCCTCTCTCCTTCTTCTTCCAAGTGGGGGTTCTCCTCCTTTTCAACTCCCATTCCCCTAATCCTTCTCAGCTGCGGATGGAAAATGAAACTTCTGTTCTTCTCCCAGTTCCCTAAGCTTCCGTGGTTTCTTTTCTAGTGGTCATGTGGTCTGCTGTGGGCGAATCATCTTCTGAGCTCTGAGCTCCATTTCAGCCGGTGAGTCTTTCTGATTGGGTATCTATATGGGGGTTTGATTGTTTCACTCTTCGATTCGCATTTTCTCTGTCTGTGAAAGTACGGAGCTTGTTTAAGCGTTGGGGAGCGGTTTCAGATTTGGATTGAGTTGTTCTTTGCTTCTCCTCTTTGGTTTTGGCTTGTCCATCAGCTCATCATAAAATCGTGAATGCTTGAGCTCTCCCAGCTCCATTTTTGTAAATGAAATGAGTAGCCTTTTGGAGTATGTTTTAGTTCAAGCTTTTTGATGATGCCAAGGGACAACGAGTGGTGAAATGTTCTGTTTTTAATCTCCATTTTTCTGTGTTGAGTGCCGGAAATTAGTGGTTCCTGATTGAGTTGTACTGTTATAAATCTTGGTGAAAGTTCAGGGCTAGCTTGATGTGTTGCATTCCGCCTCTGGTGAGTGGGAAAGCTTCAAGATTTGGATCTAGGAGTTGAATCATTCCGGTGAAGTTGTGCTATCTACTAGTACTTTCCCCTTATTTCTGGTAAGAAATGGGGTCGTATTCAGGCACTTCTGAGATCGTTGAAGCTCGAGAAGATTTGGATTCTGCACAACATTCTAGCAAAGGAGCTTATCCATATCGATGCTACTCAGGATTAAGTCTAGGTGGCCTCGATCGGAGAAAGCCTCCAGCTTTGAAGCTGGGAGACAAGGATTCACTGGAGGATGAAATAAACCAACTGTTCGATGCCATCAGTCTAAAGAATGTTTCCAAGGGTTTTGGAGTTTCAACTCAACCCAGCACGAGCTCGTCTAGCCCTCTGAATAGAAATGCAATGATGAAGAGGCCTCTTGTTAGCAGTGTGTCTAATTCACCAAGAGTCAGTAGCTCGGAAGGTGTGTCTCTGAAGCAGGCATTGAGGGACCTTTGTCTCTCCAAGGCATCTGAAATGGCTGCCATGAAAAGGGTTTCAAAATCGACTTCTGCTGCTCCCTCCCCTGGAGAACCCTCGGAGGCTGGCAGGATCAAGAACTTGTATAATTCGGTGTTGGTTGAAAGCAAGGTGGGTGAGGTTACTCGAGATATCGGTAAAGGGACAACTATGGTTGACATATCCTTTGTTCATGAAGAGAGCAGCAGCAAGAAGAAGATGCTGCACCTTGAGATTCCTAAGATGAGGTCACTGAACCCGAGTGCTCAATCGTCTCCTCGGCTACAAGCATTGAAGTCACCAGCTAATCTAAGTGCCCAATGTTCTCCTCGATTCATAGCACCACCTATGAAACCAGTGCAGAATGAGAATCAGTTGGAATCCAAGAAAGGTGGAAGCCAAAGCACATTGTCATCTCCTGGATTAGCTGATCAGAAGAAATTACAAATGGGTTCTTCTGCAACTAGAAAAGTTGGCAGTCAAGCATTGAAGTCACCATTCGAGAGTACTCATTCTTCTACTCGGTTGCCTCCTTCCATCACGAAAAGCTCGAATAAGACCAATTCCTCAAGTAATGGTACTACTACTTCTGGACCAAAAAGATTGGGAGCTCAAGCAATGAAAATCGAGAAGGTACAAAAGGAGAAGAAGGTTATGACACTTGCAGATTCCATATCTTGTCCTGATTCTCCTGACAACTCTCCAAAGGCAGCAGCAGTAAAGCTTCCTTCCTCCACCAAATCGACAACAAAAGTTTCTCCACCAAAAACAGGTCGCAAAGGCAGTACCAAGAGCACAAAACATGTTAAAACAGTGATAAGAAGCAAGATCAGCACCATTAAGAAGAAGAGAAAGCAGGGTGCAAACTCTGCATCCTCAGTTTGCACTGAAGGTGATGCCAATTTGCTTCCAGTCCAAACTCCGATGGTTTGCCAGAAATGTCAATGTGCACTAAGTAGTAATGCCAATGAAGAACCAGTTGAACAAAACCCGGCTCCTATCTCTGCTGAGATAACCTCTAATAATAAGCAAAACCCGGTTGAGAAGATAAAGAAGACTCCAAAACGAGAGAAAGGCGAATTCTCTCGGAGCTCAAAAAGCAGTTTGGGAGACTACAGCACTAGCACAAGCAACAGCGAGGAGAGCAATGCCAGCAGGTTCAGCAGCTGCTGCAACAGGCCACACATGTCGAAGGACGTCCGATGGCAAGCTGTTCAACATGTCAAGACAAGGGATAAAGTGCTGACATTGGCTCACTTCAATCTGTTGACGAAGCTCGGTTGTGGAGATATAGGGACGGTGTATCTGGCTGAGCTCATAGGTACGAACTGTCTTTTCGCAATCAAGGTGATGGACAACGAGTTCCTGGCAAGGAGGAAGAAACTGCCAAGAGCCCAGACAGAGAGAGAGATACTGAGGATGTTGGACCATCCCTTTCTTCCCACGCTTTATGCACAGTTCACTTGTGATAATTTGTCGTGCTTGGTGATGGAATTCTGCCCTGGTGGGGATCTTCATGTGCTAAGGCAGAAGCAGCTTGGGAGGTGCTTCCCTGAGCCAGCAGCCAGGTGACCTTACGTTATGATCAAATGCAACTATTTCTAAACTCCTAGAAATTTGCTTCACCCATCCAAAGCCTCCAAGTAGCCGCCTTTAGGAGGAGAACCTGATGCTAAATTCAACTACATTCATGTCATGATGATTTCTCTTTGATCTAACGATGTCCAACGTTTGGTTGCAGGTTCTACGTTGCTGAAGTTCTCCTAGCTCTAGAGTACCTCCACATGCTCGGAGTCGTCTACCGAGACTTGAAACCCGAAAACATCCTAGTACGAGAAGACGGCCACATCATGCTCACAGACTTCGACCTCTCACTACGATGCAACGTAAGGCCAACTCTCCTCCAATCATCATCATCAACAGCTCCTGCCGAACCCCCGAGAATCTCCGGCCCATGCACATCTTCCTCCTGCATTGACCCATTCTGTATCGAGCCATCCTGCCGCGTCGTGTCTTGCTTCTCTCCCCGACTCCTTCCTCCTCGAAGCGCCGCCAAAGCTAAAGTGAAAGCGGAGCTCCTCCTTCGATCAACCCTCCCACAGCTCGTGGCAGAGCCCACCGACGCTCGTTCAAACTCTTTCGTCGGAACCCACGAGTACTTATCACCCGAGATCATCAAGGGAGACGGCCACGGCGCAGCAGTTGACTGGTGGACGTTCGGCGTGTTCCTATACGAGCTACTCTACGGCCGAACGCCTTTCAAAGGCGCGGGGAACGAGGAAACACTAACAAATGTAGTGCTACAAGGGTTGAGGTTTCCTGACGGCCCGCTGGTGAGCTTCCATGCGAGGGATCTCATCCGAAGGCTGCTGGTGAAGGAGCCGGAGGGGAGACTAGGGACCGAGAAAGGTGCAGCGGAGATCAAGCAGCATCCTTTTTTCCAAGGGTTGAACTGGGCGCTCATACGCTGCGCCGTTCCCCCCGAGCTGCCGGATAATTGGTATGATCATCACAGTAGTGGTGGTGTTGGGTATGAAGGTGGTGGTGGTGGTGAGTACTTGGAGTGTAAAGCTACAGGGGAACACCTTGAGTTCGAGCTGTTCTGAAATGTTTTACTGTGGGATATTTATTAGCACGAATTAGGGTTACTGTGGTAAAAGGAAGTCGAGTAAATGGGGGGGTTGACCAATCAGTTGCCAGGGGCCATGGTTGTTCTTAAGTGGAGGGAAATGGGGAGGTGAGATTGTTCTCTGGAAGTCGAAATCCAGATTTTGGTAACTGTGAAAAGCAGAGGTTTTTCTTATATAATCAGCAGCTTCGCTTTTGTATATGTTAACCGGTCTGATCTGTTCTCTCGGTTGAAGTGAATGAAACTCGAATAAGATTTAGATCATGATTCATGACAGATCAATTGGTTTAAGCAACTGATTAAGACTAAAAGACTCATCCCAACACTGTTGGATAAAAAAAGACATTTATCTTGTTCTAGCTCCACTTGTGAGTCGGACCTTCATCCTGATCTAAATTATTAGACCAAACTGAAACCAGATTAACATATTGAAATCACCAATGATATCCTTTTTGGCTAAGGGCTCGTCATAGATTCCCCCAACTTCCATTTGAGAGTTGAGACTTGAGATCCACTAAGCCATTCACGCTTGTGGGAGTAGTGCTTGACATTATTGCTGAACACCTTTTATCATCACTATATCTCACCTACCACATTTGCTCCGCAATCCGAAAGTTTGATCCAAAACAGATGGCCTTCTCGTGTATAATGTGACATGCTCTGTTTTCGTCCCAATATAGACATCACAAACTTTGACCACTTCTCCAAGTTACTCTTTGCAGCCTGAGACTTTGCATCAACTAGAAAGAATCGTCGTCACCTCCTCAAAGATAAGCATCACTCATACAACATCCAACTTTTGGTTGCTTAGCCCAATACACACACTGAAATTTGGTGGCAGAGGACAAAAATACTTCATAAATTGATATGCTTTTTATGCAGTGCCAAACATGTTTCCGGGCTTCCCTCCCTCCTATAATCATAACCCAAAAGAAGATTTCGGGGAAAGAGGGGAGAAAAAAGAAACTAAAGTTGGAAGCAGGAAGTGGGTTAACGGCTTCCCTTGGGAATGTTGCTTTTGCTCCTTACTCCATGACCCTCTTCCTCCTTAAATTCCCTTCCCCTTTCTCTCTGCCGTTACCTCTCCGAGAGAAACACGCCATACGTGCACTGGTAAACTGTCTTCCTACCTAGGAACAACAACAACAAAGAAAACAGCTTTTCTTTGGTTGAGGGTAAGAAGAATCCAGGAAAGGATATGGGTGTTGAGTGGGGAGCTAGACTTCTGGTTCTAGCTTTAGTTTCTTCAATAGCTTTTGCTGATCCTCTTGTTCCAGCATTTATCATCTTTGGAGACTCAATTTCTGATGTGGGGAACAACAACAATATCACTACTCCAATCAAAGCAAACTTCCTTCCTTATGGAAGGGATTTTGTTACTCACAGCCCGACTGGGAGGTTCTGCAATGGGAAGCTGGCTGTAGACTTCACTGGTAAAAAGATCATTACTTTTCTTTCACCTGTCAGCAACTTCAATTCTGCCTTTTGAATCTAGTTTCTCATTAGAGATTCTTCTGGTTTTGGTTTCTGAAGCTGAGTATTTGGGTTTTGACACATACCCACCACCCTATCTAAGCCAAGAAGGCCGAGGAGGGAATGCTATAACTGGAGTCAATTTTGCTTCAGCCGGGTCGGGTCTGTTTGATCTCACAGCAATGACATATGTGAGTTTCCCAAACTCATGCATCAAGCAGACCAAAGGTATAACTTGTTGGGTCTTGACTATCTTTCTTGTGGTATTTTTGCAGGGAGCAATTTCATTAACACGGCAGCTGAACAATTATAGGGAATACAAGAGAAGCGTGGTGAACACGGAGGGAAGCAAAAAAGCAAATGAGATATTCTCTAAGGGAATCCATCTGCTGAGTGCTGGAACTAGTGACTTTGTTCAGAACTACTACATCAACCCAGTTCTAAGGGGACTCTATATAACACCCAATCGGTTCTCTGACCAGCTCATGAGATCTTACTCTACTTTCATTGAGGTGTAGTATTCAGAAAATTCGAGTTGAGCTAAATCCTTTTGCTCTTACAGCTTTCACTAATAAGAAATATGGTAAAACTGAGACAGAACCTGTATAAACTTGGAGCCAGAAGGATTGGAGTGACGAGCCTGCCACCAACGGGGTGTTTGCCTGCAGCCATTACTCTCTTTGGTCTTGGGAGCAACAATTGCGTTGAGAGATTGAACCGTGATGCCAGTTCCTTCAACCAGAAGCTGAACACAACTTCTCAGGGTCTTGTGGCACGATACCCTGACCTTAAACTTGTTGTCTTTGATATTTACAAGCCCCTCGTGGACTTGATCAACAAGCCTAGTGACAGTGGTAAAAAAGATCTTCCACCCTCTCCTAATAAGTAAAATAATGCCAATTAGTTTAACACAACTTGACCCTCTAGATTTCTTCGGTTGATTCTGTTGACAGGGTTCTTCGAGGCAAGAAAAGCTTGCTGTGGAACGGGTATGCTAGAGACCTCCTTGCTATGCAATGCAAGATCTCTGGGTACATGTTCTAATGACACATCATATGTGTTTTGGGATGGATTCCATCCCTCTGAAGCTGCTAATGAGGTCCTCGCACAAGATCTGCTGGAAGCAGGATTCTCCCTCATATCATGAATCGCTCCAGAAGTCCTACAACAGCTTCAAAATCTACTCCCTGAAGATACATGTACTTCATTTACAAAATGCCTTTGGTTTGTTACTAATAGTACTCAGGGCTAGCTTCTAGCTTTTCTTTTAGTATAGTTCTGCATTGTTTGAATAAAAGATCACTGTTGTCTATGAGAAGTTGGCAATTCATTCCAGTTATTGAGCTTCAAAAGTTACCTGAATATGATTGAGTTGAAGCCTGGAAATTTCCTAGGAAAGCTCGAACCCTGTGTTGGAACTGATAGCATAAAGAAGCTTTGCTCGCAAAGTGCTGGCCCTTTTGTACGTTGGCAACTGTAACCATCAAAACCAAAGCAAATAAGAAACACAAACATGAAAAGAAGAAAAAAAATCCCACAAGCAGCAGATGTTCCATTCAAGACAACCTTTAGAGTGTTGTAGCAAGTTGAAGCCGAAGGGAGCCTTTCCACATCCTGTCATCCAATGGTTTGCCCATATGGAAGAATCACAACTGACCTATACGATATTAAACCCTCTTTCAGAATTTGAAGTTAGAAAGTAGATATGTTTTTTTGAGTGAAGAGTGAATCAATAAATCTTTTCACCCTAAATTATATTACATTGATGTTTATACCCTTATTTACAATTTAGATCCCCAACCCCTAACTTCCTCCCACCAGCCAAATTCAGGCCGTCGCCGCCACCGTTCACCCAACCTGCCGCACCTCCCGTTCCCCCAACCCACCATCGTTGTTTTTCCCCAGCCGCTGACCCGCTCCCATTGTAGAGAAGGAGAAAGAATCGCACCAGCCGGATTCGCTGCCGTGGCCATTCCCCCAGCAAGTCGACCTGTGGCGATTCCCCCAATCCGCCGACCCGGTGCAGTTGCTGAGGAAGGAGAAAGAAGAAGCAGGAGGAAGTTGTCCGAGCGCTGGAAACCCGCTGCGAATCTCCCAATTCGCCGGCCTGCCGTGTGTAAAAACATCGATTCCCCAATCCGCCGCTGCCGTTCCCCCAGCCCACCGACCGGCTGCTGCTTTTTGGAGACACAGCGGCGGCGACGGAGCATAAAGAGGAAGAAGTAAAGGGAAATGGAAATGGGAGGCAGGGGAAGCTTTCACTGTCAAGTTCAAGTAGTGATCGAAAACTCTTTCAAGTACAAAGAAGCCAAGTAGTGACCAGATGGAGATAAAGAGAATTTGATGACGCGTAATTGAAACGAACACAGAAAGTTTGTATAGGTCCGTCATACCATGTGCTTGAAAGACAACGGTTAATATTGGGGTCGCGAGGACATGAACACGTGGCCTCACGAACAACCAGCTCTGATACCATGAAGAATTTGATGACGCGGAATTGAAACGAACACAGAACACGAGACAAGGGGTTTTATGTGGTATCCTCGATCGATTGATTGATCGAGACTAATCCACGGTGAGCTCATAAGAGCTCACGACTGATCTCTTATTAGGATTACATCTTGACGGCTTGCTATCACACAAGTCGATAGCTAAGCTTATATAGATAAACTTAGGGTTAAAACCCTAATCCAACGAATCAGACGTGGCCCAACAAGGCCCAATACTAAACACGGTTTAAGTAACCGCAACACAAGAAGTTCAAGTAGATGATCGGTCACTACCGGCAACACTTCTTCCGCGCAGCCGGCGAGCCCGGACGGGTTGTATTGGAGAATTTTTTTTATTGATTCAATTTTAGCGTTTAAGTGTTCCGAAAGACAAAAATAAATTAAGGACATTAAAGTAAATTTAACATAATTAGGGCGATGAATAATAAGTTTTAGGACGACGAATAGCAATCTCCTTTCGACCGATGTATTGATTTTTTAAATAGGAGGGTCAATTATAATGGAAGTCGCTCACTTCTGTGTTATTGACTAATCGATTCCTAAATTTTGAAGGGAAAACTTGACGAATAGATGACAGACAAAGCAATTATTATTTTTGTTATTATAAACTTCAGTGGCAATTTTGTTAAGGAAACAAGTTTAGTGACCTTAAAGATAAGTGATCATTTATGTATTTAACGCCTCCTGAAGAGGATAAGTTTTCGGCGCGACGACAGTTAAATTACAGAGACCTCAAAGATTTGCCGCCTTCACTTCTCAGGGAAGGATTCGCCAGTTCGACGATTGCACGCCGGCGGAGAGAGGAGATGCCATGATTCGGTCCTCCGCCGCCGCTACTATCTTACCGTGCTTTCCTACCCAACCTTCCTTCCACTTCCCTTCTAAGTCAGCGAGAGGAGGACCAGTTCCCCCGCCGTGCGTTTCTAACCGTTCCGGCGAGCTCAGTTGCCGCTACACATCCTCTGTTCAGGCCAGATTACCAGGGGAATCTTCTTCACTACGTAAACATAATCAAGATATTGAGCCGAATTTCCACCCTTTTAGGTCAGCGAACGGCAGCAGTTCAGAGCGTGGTAATGCTGATTCCTTCGTCGTCGACAATTTGCTCTACTTGCTTCGGTTCTCCACCAAATACTCTGACGTCGAACTTGCCAGAGCGGTGCACGCTTCGATTCTCAAGATTGAAGAAGACAGTCATCTTGGAAACGTTCTAATCGGAGCTTACCTCAAGCTGGGCCTTGTTCTCGACGCGTATCAGGTATTCAAGAACCTTTCCGATCCCAATGTAGTGTCTTACAGCAGTCTGATTTCCGGTTTCTCGAAATCGAATCGAGAAATTGAAGCTGGTGAACTCTTCTTTAGGATGAGAAGTTCAGGGGTTGAGCCCAATGAGTTCAGTTTCGTTGCTATGCAAACGGCCTGTACGAGTGCTTCCAGATTTGAATTGGGATGGCAAATTCATGCTCTGGCGATCAAGATGGGGTTTACAGAGTATGTTTTCGTTGCTAATGCGTTGATGGCGTTGTATGGAAAGTCCTGCCGGTGTTTAGATTCTGCAATCCAACTGTTCGAAGAAATGCCTGAGAGAGATATCGTCGTGGAATACAGTGATTTCCAGTTTGGTAGATGGCTCATTGTACGAAAAAGCATTGAAATTTGGTCGTGATTTGGTCAAGTTCGATGAGTTTAGAGTCGACGAGCTGACCCTTTTGACTCTACTGCCTGCCTGCACCAGCTGCAATGCTGTCAAACAAGGTAAGGAGATTCACGGCCGCGCCATGAGACTCGGGTTAGCAGGAAGTCTGAGTCTTTGCAACGCCATGATTGGATTCTACACCAAGTGTGGAACTATAGAAAATGCGTTGACTGTCTTTGACACGACGCAAATCAGAGATGTAATCACTTGGACGCAGTTGATCACTGCTTACATGGAATTTGGTCTCGTGGATTCAGCCGTGAAGACTTTCGAGAAATGCCTGAGAGAAACTTCATCTCTTACAACGCCATTTTAGCAGGGTTTTCCCACAACTCCCAAGGGCTGAATGCACTGAACTTCTTCACGATGATGGTGCGTAACGGTGTTTAGGGTTTAGGGTTTAGGGTTTTAGGGTTCAGTCTAACCAGCGTTATCACTGCATGTGGGCTGTTGGCTGATCTGGAAACCAGCAGGAAAATCCATGGTTTCCTCACAAAGTTCGGTTATGGTTCGAATGCTCACATCGAAGCGTCTTTGCTTGATATGTACACTAGGTGTGGAAGAATGAGAGATGCAGAGAAATTGTACTTCAACCAGAACAACTCCATTGCTCTAAACTCGATGATGAGTGGGTATGCACGAGCACGAAATGGGCAGCCGGACGAGGCTGTTTCTCACTTCCGTCGAAGTCTATCAGAAGGCAAGCTAGTTATGGACGAAACGGCATGGACCACAACGTTGGGAGTCTGTGGAGCTCTAGGCTTTCGGGAGCTCGGTAAACAAATCCATTCCTTTGTCGTTAAAGCAGGCTTTGGAGCTGATTTAGGGGTGGGGAACTCTTTAGTGAGCATGTATTCCAAGTGCGGCGAAATGGATGAAGCGATCAAATCGTTTGATGCAATGCCAGTTCGTGATGTGGTTTCGTGGAATAGTTTGATCGCAGGCCATGTTCTTCACCGAGAAGGGGACAAAGCTTTGACTATCTGGTCAAGGATGGAGAAAGCTGGCGTGATACCGGATTCCATAACGTTTGTGCTACTCATTGCAGCCTACAAACACACATCCTCGAACTTGGTCGACCATTGTCGTACAATGTTTCTGTCGATGAAGCCAACTTACCAAATTGAGCCAGCATCAGAGCATTATGCTTCGCTTGTCGGCGTGTTGGGATCCTGGGGTTTCATCGAAGAGGCAGAGAAAATGATTCTGGAGCTGCCATTCGAGCCTGAAGTTTCAATATGGAAAGCTCTACTCGACAGCTGCAGGCTGCACGTGAACACAGCAGTCGGAAGAAGGGTTGCCAAAAAGCATCCTAGCGGTGGAGCCTCGAGACCCATCGACATTCGTGCTTGTATCGAATCTGTACTCTGCATCAGGTACTTATGAAGATAGATCAGTAGTATGATTATCTCATAACCATTTTGTGATCTCAAATTTTTATATTCTCTCTACTCATCCAAAATCTGCATTCCCAATATCATCAGGAAGATGGCATTGCTCGGAAGCCACGAGGCAGGAAATGAGAGAGAAGGGAATGAGGAAGCAACCATGCCAGAGCTGAATCATCCACGACAATGAGATCCACTCGTTCCAAGTACGAGACGTGTCCCACTTACAATCCATGAACATTTACAGAGGCCTGGAAGTACTGCTACTGGAATGCATGAGGTCCGGGTACGAACCGGGCACCAGCTTCGTCCTCCACGAAGTGGAAGAGCACCAGAAGAAGGATCTCTTGTTCTACCACAGCGCGAAGCTAACCGCGACATACGGCCTCCTGATGACGAGCCCAGGGCAGGTTATCCGGATCGTGAAGAACGTCCATGTCTGTGGCGACTGCCACAGCTTCTTGAAACACGTGTCGGCGGTGTCCGAGAGAGAGATATCGCTGAGGGATGGTTCTGGGTTCCATTTCTTCTCAGATGGGCAGTATTCCTGCAGAGATTACTGCTGAAAATTAGAGCAGTGGTCTTTTTGTTGTTCGAATAGAACTGTCACCACTCACCACCATACCCGACTCGACTCTGTTGTGTTTGTAGAATCAATGTAAAAAGCTTCTTTATTTTATTGAAGGCGCAAAGGAAAAGATAAACGCCAGCGTTTCGACGGGAGGTAGGCGTTCTGTCACGGAAAAGTGGGCTTCTATTTGACAAGGGCCGGAAAAGCTATTTAATCAAAAGCCCAAATTACTGAAAATCCGGTGGCGTTCCCGGAAGGAGGCAGGCCCACGACCAGCGAAAATCAGAAATACTTGCAAAATGAAGAAACGGGTTTCAGTCCAGAACGCGAAACGGCCCGAAAAGCTTCTTCTTTATTTAATTGAAGGCCCAAAGGATATATAACTGGCAACGGTTTGGAAGGGAGATGGGAGTAAGGTTGGGCTAAAGTGGGCTTCCTTTTGACAAAGGCCCAAATAAGCTTGTCTTCCATTTAATCAAAGGCCCAAAGAACCTGAAATGCGGCAGCGTTTCGTGAGCAGAGTAGGTCAACGTCCGGAAAAAACTGGGAACCTCCGAGAACGCGAAAACGGGCGTTAGAAACGGACGAAACGCGAAACGTTTCTTGTCCTCAAAACCAAAATCGAAACGCGAGAAATTGACGAGAAATTGAAATTGACGAGATATCGCGATATTACGACATATCGCGATATTTAAGCGTTTTATTGACTTTTGGCGATATATTGACCGTGTGCTGAATTTTACCCCTCTGGCCTCTGGGTACCAAAAAAACCGAGGGAGAAAACCAGAAATACACCGGACTATCGCATCAAAATACGGGGAAACAACACAGCAATGATTCGGTTAATGAACTTTGCCAAGATTCCTGCATCCAATTGCCATAATGCCATTGCGTTTCCTGAATGGATTCCTTATATTGTGAATTTTGGAGACTAAATAACGCTGCGCTATTGCGTGCGGAGAAGAAATCGCTGCAAGCGCTTCGGCGGGAGGAAGCAGCACCTATCCGGCGCGGTGGCAGTAAAAGCGGCGAGGAAGCGGTTTCTGTGGGGGTGAAATTTGAAACAAAACTCCTAAACATCTACATCCTGATCGGGCCGCTGTGTAGCTTGCCGTCATCTCTTACTCTATCAGTCCGCCTTCTTGCCTCTCACTTGCCACTAGTAGTTCGCTGGAGCATCTGCATCTCGCCGGCCACCTCTGTATCTCGCCGGTGGGCTTATCCGTTGGTCTGGCAGTTGGGCAATCTTCAGTAGCGGATGAAATTTCCAAACTGATTAAGAGACCTAAGCTCGAGGCAGTTATCTGTTATGACCCAGATGATCTTTCACTGGAATTAGGAAGTTCGGTTGATATATTGGTCGCAAGGCGGGTAGGTTTATGGACCACATCACAACCACTAAGGGATTTACGCTGGAGCTCCTCAGCTATCTAGTAAGTTGTAGTGTTATTTCTCAGTTTGGTCTCTACCACTGCTCTCTTCAAGTTTATCATTTTGGTTAGAATGTCTGGTTCTAGTGTGCTTGGTCAGTTGCGATTACCAAATCGAAGCTGGTTTGTACCAGTAGTGGAGATTTGACCCTTAATTGTGAACTAGCAGGAGTTAGCTACTTTAGGTGGTTGATGAAACTTATAGAATCTCAGGGAGGCATACCAGTCTTGGCTTCCTACTGTTCTTAGCCTGACTCGTTCTGATGAAGAAGTTCCTATCCCATGTATTAATAGTTTTCTGCCGTTCTGGGTTTGGTCCTTTGAGAACCATAAGAAGATGGTAAGTTCCACGTTCTTGTCTTGTATTGCATGCAAACTAGTTCGTCCTGAAGATGTATGCAATTTCATGTAATATTTTCTTCGACGTCCTGCATCTTTTAAGTTTTTTTTCTATCATTCTGGTGGAAAGTGGAAATAAATGCTATTCCCTAATTTGCCACCTCTTGTAAATCCTATTTCATATTGCAGTGACGTTGGAAAAGGGTTTAAGGGAAAACCTTATCCCAGACTTGTGAAATTGGTTTTATCTGCCACATTAACCCAAGATCCAAGCTGAATTGGATTAGAAAAAAGCAGCTTGTGATTACTAATGGCTAATTGTTTGGTAAAGTAGCTTTTGCTCACTGAACAATAGTAACTATTCCACAGTGCTATACTGATATTGCGATTGTCGAACTGAGTTTTCTTTTTTGCTCTGATCAAATATTCGTCCTGATTTATATTGCCACACATAACTTCCCTAGTTAACATGGTTGAATGAATATTAATTTTTAACCGTGATTGTTTTGGTCAAAAAGGGAGGGAAGCCTCGTGTTGCTGACTTTGTCCATGGTTCAGATGGATTGAGGAACACATAATTGTCATCGCCAAATGCAAAGAAAAGTGAGAAGAATGCTACTGAAATTTTAATTGACCAGGCCTCTGAGTTCCCTGGGAAAGTATCTGTACTTGCACTTGGACCATTGACAAAAGTGGCCTTGGTGAGTTACTTTCTTCCTTGTTTCCGTGTTTCTTTTATAATGACTACAAAATCAAGAACTTGACAATGATGACATCTTTTTGGACAGGCAATCAAAAGGGATTCCTCATTCGCTAGCAAAGTGAAAAAGTTGTAGTTCTTGAAGGAGCCTTATTTCCTCTGGGAAATTTAAACCCTGCTGCTCAAGCCAATGTAAGCTACTGTCACTTGTCTTTCTGAAACCGAGTGGTTATCAAGTTATTTAGCATTTTCTCTGATATTCAGGTATATGGAGATCCAGAAGCAGCAGACGTTGTATTTACATCTGGGGCAGACATTGTTATAGTGGGAATTAATATGACTACTCAAGTTAAATAGACGGGTAGAAACCCAGAGATCCCATCCGCTCAGCTTCATGTCTAGTATTCTTCTGTCAAATCTTTAGTCAAAACCTCTCTGTATTACTTATGTTCTATGTTTGTTTGCAGATGCCGACCTTACTGAGTTGAGGGAGTCGAAAGGGAAGTATGCTCAAGTAATATGCAATATGTGCAAGTTTTACAGAGATTGGCATGTAAAGTCTGATGGAGTCCTTGGTAATAGTCCTCCAAATCTCTTGAACTAGTTAGCTCCCGAGAATAGTTAATGTTCCACAGTAGAGTTTCACTTATCACATTATCTATAACCCGGTTTCTGGAATATGTCTGCACGATTCGGTGAGCTTTATGGCTGAACCGGAAGGGTGTAGTGACTAGTGAGGGTGGAGACTCAGGGCATCGTCATTGGCCACACCCTAATGGACCAAGGCCTCAAAAAGTAGGCCAACTCTCTAAAATTTGATCCATAATGCGGTCAATTTCCGTTCTAGCCGTTCTGCCGGAATGCTTATTGATTTAAGCTTCTGGGGTATGTATGTTTAGTTGTTTACTCTAGGGTTTCAGTTTATCACGACATCTCTCCCTATTTTTTCATTGGTGTTGTTGCTTTTAGATTGCAGTTCCATTCGGTGGAGGGCGATTCCAATTCTGCAGTTCAGTAGGGTGTAACATGCCCGTGTTAGAGGCCAACGGTAAAATCTGATAATCTCTTAGGGTTTGTTTTAATCGTAGCTGTATTCTCAAAGTTGCATAGACTTTCCAGATTTCCATGATGATAGCAAAATAGGAAAGTAAACTATCTATTGGTATGATGGATTTCGTTAACTTATCTCCTATGTTACTCATCTTAGCTTGTTTCATAGCTTATGATGTAAAGTACCTTTTGGGTTGATGCACCGTATAAATCGCACAAACGTGTGAAGATCCCGTTTCATTTAGATCACATCTTTTTTCCCAGAGGGGATCCACATCTCACCTAATTGATGCGCAAGTCTTCCCCTCACAAACTACATAGATTGTTTCTTTAAACTTGCAGCTTTCATGAACTACCATAGGCAAACAAAAACTCTCATTCAAAAGACACCTACCATAAACATACGCCACCGTTGTTTAGACTTTCGATTGGTAAGCTCCTCAAAGATTAATAATGCAAGTCAGACCTTCTTACTGTCCTCCATTTCCCTCTGTTGGCTTCTCCTTACCTCAATTTGAATACCTGCACCTTCCAGGTTTCTATTCCTGTGTTGCAGTCTCTGTTGACACCTTAATGGTTGGTCATGTTTGATTTTCTTCTTTCCATCATATCCTCTGTTGACACCTTTGTTGCAGTCTCTGTTGACACTAGATTTTGTGCCTTGTTGAAACTCACTTCCTGTTGTCTATGCTGATTTCTTTGTTTGCACAGCTCCAGCAACTAGAGTTGTAGGAACATAGAGTGGAAGAGAGAGGAATTGGTGGCTGAGTGGAGTGCAACAGTTGTCCCGTTTGCTATGCTTTGAAACCCACCGAAGCAACATTGGAACCAACTCTGCTTACCAAGGAGAGCAATGTTGTTGAATTTCCAGGAATCCATAGAAGTTGCCAGCCCCAGGTGCTTGAAACTTGGCTCTGCTTATCTAGGATGAAGGTTAATTCTTCTCCCAGAAATCAAGTACAACATGTAGAATGTGAATTTGTGGTGAACAAGTTGCTTTATGTGTGTTTTAAATAGCGAGGGTTAATTTTTTTCATTTTCATGGCATGTCATATGGTTAGATGATCTCAGACTCATATGGGAAGCTCAGTTTAGAGGTTTGTTCCATATTGCGTCTATGTTTAGCTTTATTTGTTTAGGAGATGGATGGGCCGGGGGAGGAAAGAAAGAGGGACGGGTGGTTTATTGCCTTATTGGACCTTTTTTGCATGGTTTCAACAAGACAAGAAGAGCCTCTTTATCTTGGGCCCAATCCCTTCATTTCGCTGATCGAATTTGACACCGACCGGCCTTAATTACGGCGGGTAGGTGGCGCGTGATGGAGTAATAAGGGAGAGGAGAAGAGAAGAGAAGAGATCACATGGGAAACAGAAACAGAAGGGAATGCAATGCGTTGTCGTCTCGGCAGTATCAAAACTGCAACTCGAAAGCATGAATGCACCTCGACATCTGCCTGCAACGCCGTCTACGGACGCT